CCAAAGAACCAGGGTGCAATTTCCAGCACCCACATAGCAGCTCACAACTGTCTATAACTCCAGCTCTAGGGGATCCAACACCCTCACACAGACGCACATGCAGGCAAAACACCAATGTACGTAAGATAAAAAAATTTAGGTGATGAATATTGGGAGCTGGAGAGACGACTCAGTGGTCGAGAGTTCTTAGTGCTTTTGCAGAAGATCTGAGTTCAGTTCCCAGTACCTATGTCAGATAGCTCACAACTGCCTATAACTTCAGCCCTAGGAGTGCCCTATGCTGGGCACCACAACATATGTGGCATACTCTCACACAGATGCATACACATTATTCCTTTTCAAAAGAACAATGTTAACTGGCCTACCTTACAAGAGTAACTGCAATGATTAAACGTATTACTATTCATAATACTATTCATAATGTAGATTTAAAAATACCCAGAACATGGCACTCAGTAAACACAAGCCACTATGGTACTACCATGGTACCCATGGTCTTGGAAGTCCTCTGGTGGGTCCTGCCATAGGCACCAAAGCTCTAGGAGTTCATCAGGAAGTAAAAGCCAATGTCCTTCTTTCTTCTGTAGTATCCAAGGGGATAATGAACAGCTTATATCCTTAGTGTTCTGAATTTACCACTGAGACAGCCAACCTTTCACCTGTGCCCTCCCACTCCTTCTCATGACACCTACTTCCAGAAGACCAAAAAAAGACAGAAGTCCACACATCGCAGGCTAGGAGACAGGCACCAGTGACACACACTATGACATTCTCCCTTTCTTAAAACTTGACCTGGGTCAGGTGAGTTTAGCCTGGCCCCGGCTCCCTCAGGATGCACTTGGCCCACTGCAGTCCTCCACAATCCCCAACAGACCCCAGAGTCTCTCCTCTCAACCTCATTAAAGGGGGAATTGAAGGCCGAAGCTTTGAGAAGAATCAGGCACCAGCTGTACTGAAGACTGGCAGTGGGAAAAAATTACAAACTGTTGAAATACATTTAGTCAAGATTGAAATCCAGGTCTGATACAGGCTGTTAATGTGTCCTGATGATGAAGTGCCTGTCCACAGCCTAACACTCAGACAGGGAAAAGAAAATGAACATCCAATAGGATACCATTTAACCAGTAAATAGGAACAAATCCAACAGAAGATGTGAGATTCCTGTATAGAAAAGTCACAAAGCACCCAGGAGAAGCGTAAGTGTGGGGTTAGCAGAATGGCTCAGCTGCTGATCCCCGAAGTCCAATGGCCTGAGTTTAATTCTTGCAACCCACAGAAAGGTGGAAGAGGAGGATCCGTTTGGATAAGTTGTCCTCTGACCTCCACATGCACATCTTGGCATACCTGCATATGTCCCTCTTCTATACAAACAATAATAAATAAAAGAAAAAGTAAAGACTGTGTTTAAAAAAAAAAGATACAGAGCCAGGCATAGGGATACATACTTAAAATCCTGGTACCTGAGAGCATGGCTCTATAGTAATACTTAGTCAAAAAATAAGAACAAAGAAAAAGGAGGAAGACAAACAAAAGGAGGAAGAAACCAATAAAACCAGAGAAATAATCCATATTCTTTTGTCAGGGTGGTGGAGGTGGTGGTGGTGGAGGTGATAGAGGTGATCGTGGAGGTGGAGGTGGTGGTGGTGGGGTTTTAGAGACAGGGTTTCTCTGTGTAGTCCTGGCTGTCCTGGAACTCTCTCCATAAACCAGGCTGGCCTCAAACTCAGAGATCTGTCTGCTTCTGCCTCCCAAGTGCTGGGATTAAAGGCGTGTGCCATGACACTTTTCATTTCTTAAATAAAGATTCAACATTATAAAGAAACCTATTTACCAAATTGACCTACAGATGTATTATTACAATTGCAATCAAATCCAAACATGTTTTTGTGGTAATTTAACAAGGCGATTTTATATTTCATAGGAAACACAAAGGACTAAGAATAACCAAGACAATCTTAAAGGAAAACCAGTGGAGAGACCCATGCTACTAGGTGCAAAACTTAAGACAACTACAACCACGGGTCAGAACGGCAGGGCACAGACTTCTGCCAGTGACTGCCGAAATACAAGCGCACACCCGTGAAATAAAGAAGTATTTAGAAGCATGCTCAAGCATGTGCTGGCCCCTAGTTTATGACATGACTGCACTGAAAGACACAGGGCAAAGATTCTTCTAAAAGCATGGTATGTTCAGCTGGAACTGTAGAGTTCCTAACTCACACCTGCCCCCTGCTCCCCAAAAGTCAGTCCATAAAGGATGCAGACAAAAAAGGAGAAAACACTGAGCTTAGAGGACACTGTAGTAGGCTGTCCTCATACCTTTGAGGACATAGCAATACCTTCTAAAGTGAAACATTAAAAAAAAATCCATTATAGGAACAAGAGATTAACTGAACTTAATTAAGAATTCATCAAGAGTTCATTAAAAGTGTAAGCAAGTCACACTGTGGGAGAAGAAATCTACAAAAGTACTCAAACCCAGAGCATACAAAGGACTCCCGGAATAGGGCTGCTGTCCATCTCTTCTAGCATGCAGTAACCCCGGGGTTAGACCCCAGCACCACCCAAAACCAAACCAGGTGGCTCACAATGCAACTCTAGCACTACTCCTAGTATGCAAGAAACGGAGGCAGGAGGATCAGGAATTCAAAGTCATCCTCAGTTACACTGGAAGTTAAAGACCAGCATAGGCTACATAAGACCTTGCTTTAAAAAAAGAAAAAGAACATAAAAAGAACCACACCAATTGGGAGGAGTGTGCACTGCTCCTCCAGATGACCTGGGTTGGATTCCCAGTACTGACATGAAGTTTGTACCTTCAGTCCTAGGAGATCCAGCACACAACTCCATCTTTTGTGGATACCAAGCACATATGTGGTGCCCTGACATTCATGAAGACAGAATAAACATAAAATAAAAATAATATGTATTTTTAACTTCACAAGTTAATAAGATCCATAAGGTAACAGGTAACAGTTTTAAAAGGACAGGAATAAGGGCTGGACATGGTGGCACATCCCTTTAATCCCAGCACCTGGGAGGCAAGGGCAGAAGGGTCTCAGAGTTCACAGCCTAGACTACATATCGAGTTCCAAACCAACCAGAGCTATGTAGTAAGATCCTGTCTCAAAAAAAAGAAAGAATAAAAATACAGAAAAAAGTGGGGGTGGAGGTAGGTAGTAAAAAAAAAAAGACTTCACAGGAGAAAATGAGCATGTGCTAACAGCAAAACAAACATACATGTTTATGTGCGTATACACATTCAACACTAGTCACAAGAGAAGCGCCAGCTGAAGCTACAACTATTTACTACTAGCATCTGGGCAACGCTACTTCACAGACTGGGTGATGGTTGCATACATATTCACTTGAAGGAAAAAAAACCGAGTTGTACACTTAAGGATTTATATACTACTCTCTATATATGGTACTTTAATTAAAATCATTACTAAAAAAGACAGAGAGACTTACTACTTCAAAGAAATGTGATGTGTGGGCCTTGTTTGGATCTTGCTTCATACAAGCCAACTGTTTAAAAGAATTGTGGCTGTTGGAGGAATTCTGAACACTAACTGCACATTTGATGATAATTAAGGGGCTGTTAACTGTTTAGGTGTCGTAAGGGGACTATGGCAATAGTTTCTTTTTTGCTTTTTTGCTTAATGGGAAATGAACCCAATTTCCAGCATTCTACAAAAGCAGACTACTGAGGAGGCTGAAGCAGAAGGATCTCAAGTTCAAGGCTTAACTAGGCTATGGAGTGGATTCAAGGCCAGCCTGTACAAACCAGAGAGATCCTGTCTCAAAATAAAAAAAATAAATAAATAAACCTTGCTGAAGAATAGACTTCAGTGGTAGAATACTTGCCTGGCATGAATTAGACCCTAGATTCAGTTCATAGTACTGAATCTAAAAAAAGAAAAAGACGAAAAACAAGGGGTGATGGGGCTCTCTTTAACCCTAGCACAGGGAAGGAGGGGCCAGTGTATCTCTGTGACTCTATGAGCTTGAGACCAGCCTGGCCTACGTAACAAGCTGTAGACCAGCAGGGCTTCATAGTTACATAGTCATATCCTGTCTCGAAATAAATAACTAACTAACTAAATAAATAAATAAATAAATAATAAAGGAAGGAAGGAAGGAAGGAAGGAAGGAAGGAAGGAAGGAAGGAAGGAAAGAAAAGAAAAAAGGAAAGGTAAGCAAGGCAGGCAGACAGTGGTGACACATGCCTTTAGTGCCTGTACTTGGTAGGCAGGTAGGTCTACGTGAGTTCAAGGCTAGCCTAGTCTACAAAATGAGTTCCAAGACAGCCAGGAAGAACCACATAGAGAAGCCCTGTCTAAGAAAAACCCAAAATTAAAAAGAAGAAAGAGTATTGAGAGACTAGAGAGACTAGAGAGACTGCTCAGCAGTTAAGAGTACTAGCTGCTCTTTTTTTTTTTTTTTTTTTTGGCTTTTTCGAGACAGGGTTTCTCTGTGTAGTCCTGGCTGTCCTGGAACTCACTCTGTAGACCAGGCTAGCCTCGAACTCTTGAACTCAGAAATCCGCCTGCCTCTGCCTCCCAAGTGCTGGGATTAAAGGCGTGCACCACCACCGCCCGGCACTAGCTGCTCTTACAAAGGCCTAGAATTTGGTTCCTATCACTCACAAGGGAGTTAACAACTGTCTATGTCTTCAGACACTGTCTTCTGGCCTCTGAGGGTACTAGACACACACATAGTGCACATACATACTTGCAAGCAAACACTCATACACACAAACTAAAAATAAACTCTTTTTTAATGGCATCTTTCCCTCTATCCATTTTCAAAATGTTTGAAATAGAAGAAAAAACATAAACCAGTGCCTTTTCTTAGAGAGCTCATCCAGACATGACAAAAAATATTGCCCTGTGCTGGCTACAGTTTATCTGTCTGTGTTTAATGTGACACAGCTAGTATCTGAGAATAGCCTCAATTGAGAACATGCCCCCATTAGACTGGACTGTAGACAAACTTACGTGGTACGTGTTCTCTTGTTTAATGACTGATGTTGAAGGGCCCAGACTTCTGGCAACAGTGCCACTCCAGAGCAAGTGGTCCTGGGAGTGTAAGAAAGCCACCTGAGCAAGTCAGTAGGCAGCATCCCTCCACGGCCTCTGCCTCAGCTCCTGCCTCCAGGCTCCTGCCCAGCCTTCCTTTAATGATGGGCTATGAGCTGTAAGATAAAATAAATCCTTTCTTCCTCAAGTTGCTTTTGATCATGGTTTTTATTATAGCAATAAAAAAAACACACTAAGACAGCCACCTTCTTTGGGATGTGCACCAATCTAAAGGCTCTGAGCAACCTAGCTGCCTTCCCTAAACAGCAGCTCCCACAGCTTCCTGGAGCTGGCCTAGGCTACATATCACCCTATATATCAAGCTTATGTCAAGTAACTTCATCTCAGACAAGTGTCTGTGACCTCCTCTGCAAGCTGACCTGCCTGGAAGTGCTAACAGTAAGAAAACAACTATGAATTCCTGAATGAATCTAGTCTGGCTGTTTGCAACTCCAGTATCTTCAGTCTAAACCTGGGTTGAGACAGATGCAGATGCAAAGTAGACTTTGTGAGGGCATCTTGATTCTCAGGAATTTCTTCCAGTTTCTCAGGAAGACTTCGACTGTGAGAATTTCTTACTTATAGGGAAAGAAAATTCCTTTCTGCCCACATTTGTCACTTTCTGGTATAATGTCCTGGTTGGTTAAGCCTACAGGTTACATTTGGCTTTGTGTGTAATCTCTACCAGGCAGAACATCTGCATTCCAACCAGGGTTCCTTGGAGAAGTGAGCTGCATCTCCTCCTCCTCCTCCTCCTCCTCCTCCTCCTCCTCCTCCTCTTCCTCCTCTTCTTCTTCTTCTCCCTCCTCTTCTTCCTCCTCGTCTTCTTCCTCCTCCTCCTTCTTCTTTTTTTGTTTTTGTTTTTGTTTTGTTTTGTTTCGAGACAGGGTTTCTCTGTGTAAGCCTGGCTATCCTGGAACTCATTTTGTAGACCAGGCTGGCCTCAACTCAGAAATCCATCTGCCTCTGCCTCCCAAGTGTTGGGATTAAAGGTGTGCGCCACCACTGCCCAGCAAGCTGCATATTCAAAAAGGTGCTGCAGCCACCCTCTGTGGCAGCTTCTGAAGGAAGAAAAACCTTTCAGTGTCCCTCAGTGGTACCCTGATTTACTATCAATCAGTCCAGTGAAATGGGACAGGCATCAAAGGCGAAAGACCAAGGCTTCATATACACAAAACGACTAGGCACAAAAATTAATTTATAGGACTTGCTCTATTTGTTCTTTTAACCTTGAAGGAATTAAACAATGGCTTCCTTTCATAGTCTACCAATATCTATCTCTGAAAAGTAGTCTATCTGAAGAGTGCCCAGCTCTGCCACACACAAACTGTGTGATCTCAACCTGTCTGGGTTTCAGTTTTTCACCCGTAAAATGGGGCTAATTGTATTTCATAAGGGTGCTGAGAAGAGTAAACTCAGATAATGCATATATGCCACTTAGAACAATCCCTGGCCAAGAGTCTCACTTAATGATTCTGGAAGTTCTGCTGTGGACAGTTTTCATCACAGGAAAGAAAGGGTAAAATGGAACCAGGGGCTGTCAAGATGGCTCAGGGGATAAAGGCACTTGTCACCAAGCCTGAGGACCTGTGTTCTATGCCCATTATCTACATGGTAGGGGAAGTCTGACTCCCTGAGGCTGTCCCTGACCTATACACTCCTCATCACACACAAAATAAATAAATTATAGTGATAAAAAAAGAATAGAACCACTGGACACCAGAAAACAAGAATATCATCGTTCTAATTCTGGATGAGCCTACAGATCCAGCAATCGTGTTACGCTTTTTATTTCATGTTGTATGTATGCTTTGCTGCATGTGTGTACCTGGTTCCCTCGGAGGTCAGGTCCCCAGCAACCGGAGTTACAGTTGTAAGCCACGACATGGGTGGTAGAAATAGAACCGGGTTCCTCTGTAAGAACAACTGCTGCGCTATCTCCCCAGACCCTTAGCAATTTTAAAATAAAAGTAATCAGATAGATAGATAGATAGATAGATAGATAGATAGATAGATAGATAGATAATTTTTTGAGACAAGTTTCATTAGGTAGCTGTGGGTGACCTAGAGTATAGATCAGGCTGGTCTCTGACTCAAGAGAGATCCTCCTGCTTCTGCATCCTGATTGCAGAGATTAAAGGAATTCACCACCAGGCCCCATTCAATTTTTAAAAACCTGCTTCAAAATGTTCAGTTTTAAATATCTACGAGTCTAGTATCTCTATATGGACTATATTTTTAATAGCCAGAATTTACTTCTTAAGTCATAATTGTCCTTTCATTATTTATGAGTTATAATACTGCCAGAGGGATAAAGAGCACATTTGAACTGTGAATAAGGAAATCTGCCCAAAGGGCCTGTTGTCTAAGAATCTGTGCAGGGACTCCCTGGGCTATTAATTATTTATCTACTTTTTAAAGTTAATAAATAGAAATGCCTTTCTGCTCTTTATCCCCCAGATGAATTTAGCCAACATATGGTGTATGTGTGTATGTGTGTGTGTGGTGGGAGGTGATGACACGGTTTGTGTGTGTCGGGGGTGGGGAGGGAGACAGCAGTCTGAGAATATAGGACAGCCAGGTTACAGAGAGAAGATTCTTAAAGAACAAATATAGAATACACATTGTTTTATCTGTCATGTTTTTATTAGGGTCAACTTCTTATATTGATTGTTTTTGAGTGTTCTTTTAGAAACACTAGTGCTTTAAAAGTATAATACTAATACAAAAAAGCAAATTTATCTATTATCTTTATAACTCAAATAAACCCTGTTTACACTTAAAAATATATTGACAGTTAGAAAATCTAAAGGGAGGGAAGTTTTATTCAGTCCCTCCACAGAAAGCCACTGTCTACTCATCTGTCCTACCAGAAATGTAAACATATGTGTGTGCCTACTCTTTTCCCAAGAAGAGCCCTATACACAGTGTTTTTACATTCCTTCTCTATGCAGCACAGTACCTGGCCTCTGTGTCCTTCCCAGTCCTGGTGAATTCCTCTTCCTTTCAGACACTGTGCTTCAACAAGCATCACTGTTCACCCAGGTTAGTGTCTCATAAGGTTGGAATAGCAATTATAAAACGACTCCAAGCAATCTCTCATAGCTGTGTGACAGGGAAGAAAATACATTGTTAGTGTAGTCATTTCCTTCAGAAAATTTCCCCAGACACTATTATTTATTCCAAATGGGTCTTTGAACAGCTGGAGACAACTACTGAGGAAAGGCTACTTTTCCCTGGGACAAAGGTGGATGAATGCTCACTTGTGAGTTCAAAGTCTTCCCATGAGATGGATGCACTGGGTGCTTCAAACCCCCCCTCCCTGGCCCTGGTTGCTCACTGCATGAGTGGAGTGTGCACAGAGAGAAACTCGCCTGCAATGTGTGCAGTGGTTAAAACTGCTCAGCGGCTGGGCGCGCCTCCCCTCACAAGGCAGAGGTGAAGTATGACAGAATGACTGCATATGACTGCATAACCATGGCTGGAGGGCAGAGTTAGGATAGGATAGTGGCTCAGGTCCTCATCTCAATAATAAAGCTACCTCACATCTCTACACATAGCTGCCTCAAATCCTTAAAGGATTGTGGGTTTAAATTTATTTTAAAAGATTTTAACATGTTTTTTATTTGTTTGTTTTTTCCAATCCCATTTACACATCCACCAACTCCATTAGACAAATTAATAGGGGGTTATTATCTACCTTAAAATAAAGATGACATTGTGTCTGAGGGGCAGTGAAGTCAATGGCTTGTCCAGAGTCAGGTGACTGACCAAGTATTCTAACTCCAGGCCACTCCCATATTCACTCTGGCTTTTCCCTAGCATACCCCAGTCCAATAAGTCTAGCCTGCCGCTTTACAACCTCAAACAAAGAAAAGGGAGGAAGAGTTGTGTGTGCTGGTGCATGCTTGGTATCCCTGCACTCCAGAAGGTAAGGCAAGAGGACAGGTTCCAGGCCAGCCTGGGCTATATAGTGAGTTCCAGGCCAGCCTGGGCTGTGTACGGTAAACTGCTCTATTCACAAATCCTAAATTTAAATATTGACAGAAGCATAATTTTTACCAGTTTAACCAACACCTGTGGAAATTTACTTTTGTGATCATAAACACCTTCATATTAAAAACATCTCAACTTTTGAAAATTGATCTTTTTAGTTTTAAGGATGAGAAATGCTGCTTTGGAATATACCAGTCACCTGTCATTTAGATTTCTTGAGTTAGGATCACATACATGCCTGTTGGATCTCCTGGATCCAGGGTTACAGATGCTTCAGGTGGTGGCAATCAAGACTTGGGGCCTTTGCAAGAGCAACAAGTGCTCTGCTGAGCCATCTCTTCAGCCCTCAAACCCTTTGAGAAGAGAAGAAATGCATTTATTTTATGAAGCCCAGACATGTATCTGTCACTGAAACAAAAAGTTCACAAAATAACCACACCACCCTCAAGTGATTTACCTGAATATTCATGCTTCTATAATTTTCAACTTTATTTTTAAAAAAATCAATTCTTAAGCCTTAAGATGAATTCACAGGGATCCTGCCCTCCAGGCATCCAGACACTTGCTCTCAGCCTTAAATATACACAGTCCTAAGAGAACCTGGAGACTGGCAAAGGCCACAGTGGTGATTATTCAACAACCTACTGAGAAGCAGATCTGCAGCATCCCTGACAAATTGACACAACCAAAATGTCTGCTTTTTAGCAGGAGGAGGTGAAGCTCAGTGGTAGAGTACAGCTCGGCACACAGTGGGGGAAGCTCACTGACACAGTGTACAGCTAGGCACCCAGAAAATCTTTGCTTCCCTACCATTGCTGAACAAAAGGACAAGACGCTCTCTTCATTTTGCACCTACCACAGGGCTTTCATATAGAGTCCCATATAATAGTACAGAATTAAGCACCTAAACTAAATAATTGCAGCTTTTTTCCTAAGAGGCAATTTGACTTAACCCTAGACCCAACTTAGTCTTTTGTAGGAGGACAGAAGAGATAAAGTCAGGAGACAGAGGTCTAGAAAGTTCCCCTGAGTGACCTTAGGAGTGTCAGTGGATGAGATTTTACACAATCTTCAGTATTGGGGAGTTCCAACAAATCATATCTCTAGCAAAGGCTAGAAACTGGGAAATGCTCCCCTGAGGAGGTTCATAGGGAGCTGAGTCTTGACAAAGAACCTCCATAAAATCAGACTGGTAGAGAAGACAGGAGGTCTTCAGAAGAAACAAGCTCAGCATATTCGGTGACAGAAACAAAGGGTTCGCAGACGGCAAGCTTTCCCTAAGAGATCCATTAGGGAAAGTGAGACGATTACACACTTTATACATGTGGGTAACGTGAGGTTACTAAAGGTTTCTGGATGTAAAGAATAGTATTTCAAAATTATTTGTGGGCAAGCAGACCTGAAACCTGTCTCTAAAAAGACCGGTTGTCTAGAGTTCAGGCAATAGGTTGCCAATGTTTTACTATAGATAAAGAGGTATACATGTATATGGATTTCATAAATTCAAAAAATTTTAAGAGCGGTCTTGGTTACCCAGAAGGGGGAAAGGCTGAGATATGTATACTGAACTTGGATGTGGGTAAAACCCTATTTACTGCTCCTTTGACCCTTCCCCCTTTGTTAATGAGTGTGAGCCTGGCCTGCAGTCAAATGGTTCTTTTCTTTATAAAAGCTGTAGACTTCACTCAAACTAAGATCCAGACTTGATCCACTAAAAAAGTCGCTAGGAACCTAGTAGATCACTATAAACCATTTTGCAGAAAGTAAATTTTGCCTAAACAATAACAACCGTCAAGATAATGAGATTTCTAAAGTTACTCTCCAGGGATCTATGAGGGCATTAACTATCTAGTAATTCTGGCTCTGCTGGATATACTGTCTGTGGCGTATGAACCTCCGTGAAATGCAGGTCTGTCTCAGGTGAATACAAACATGGTATGTGAGTCACCTTTCGATTACAGCTGACATCTGAAAGCATATTTAAAGCATGACAGCCACAAAGCTAAATCTCTGTAAGACTGTCCTGGTCTTCCTGTCTCTTTCCAGTCTCAAGATGAACAGAGATCAGGATTCTTGACAAATCATAGGCTAATTTTTTATGACACTTCTAACTTTAGAGGACTTCCCCAAAGACCTCAAAATTACTGAGCTGTTGAGTGTTGTAAACTTTAGATGAAGCTTGAAGCTGTTGAGGTTTGTTTGTTTGTTTGTTCTTTTTGATGTTATTGCTGCGTTTTCTCCCAAAGGGAAGTCAGCAAGGATTTCCTACAGTCAGGGGAAATATCTGTACA